AGATGGGAGGATAATCTCAGGCGGGATCTATGGGAGATAGGAGGTCAAGGAGACTGGATTTTGTTGGCCCAGGACAGGGTCCGGTGGAGGGCTTTGGTTAGTTCGGTGATGAACCTTTGGGTTCGGTAAGCCATCTGATTGGTTGGGTCCACTATTTGGGAAGCCTGAGGGGAAGAGACCGCTGGGGAGACCTAGACGCAGATGGGAGGATAATCTCAGGCGGGATCTATGGGAGATAGGAGTTGAAGGAGACTGGATTTTGTTGGCCCAGGACAGGGTCCGGTGGAGGGGTTTGGTTTATTCGGTGATGAACCATCGGGTTCGGTAAGCCATCTAGTTAGTTAGATAGTTAGTTATGTGGCTTATAATTCATTAGATCATCCACACTGGAAAGGGAATATGAAATGTCTCATGAGTAACACTACATTCTGCATCCCTGTTTTCTGACAAACATTCTGGATAAAAACAGCAACCCTCGGAAGGGGAAGACGGTAAACGGTAAAGCTGAGAGCCTTCCCTTAAGTGACAAGCGTGACATTCCTCACCTGTAGGGCAAGTTCCTTTTTCATTAGTAGGTTTCTTTCCTGGACACATGCAATTTTCAGCTGAACCGTTCTTGTTTAGCTCCATGCCATCAGGACACAGGCAAGCGTACTCCTTATTTGGTTTCCCAAGGCACAGGTGAGAACACTGGATCCTGGACTGGTGGCTACAAGCATTTGTTCCCTCTTGGACACCATGAGCAAATACCTGAAAACACGCGTATTTAAAATACGAACACGGCAATAAACCTTTCTGGTGCATAGAAGACCACAAATTTCTTTGCCAGGTGAGTGACTGCTAGCTTCTCAGCAAGTATTATATCCCAGGAAGTTTCAGTAGATAAAAAAAATCTATGAAGTGTAAAGAATGCCACACGTCCAAGCGTACGGGCCAGACGCAGACATACACATATAATATCTCCAGTAAATGCACCATTGATTCATTATTACCTTTCTGCTAATGATTGTTTTGTCGTGTAATGTATCTAATGAGCGTGCAACGCTTTTATGTACCTTGAGGTCCATGACTCCATGCAGATCACTCTGAAGTCTGACAATTCCTACTCCGTGATCCTTGTCCGCTGAAAACACTGCATTCAATTTCCAGTCATCCCAATAGACATTGTCCTTAAATACAGCCACAGCAAATGGATGAGACACGTGTTCCTGAAAATGACGAGACAAATCCTCTTTCTTGTTGATCCAAACTTTAAGGTTGCAGAAAAGTTGTGTTATAAAAAAACTTCAGTATATATTTCATACATGATGTATTGCATTAATCTACTTCTTACATAAAATAAATAAAATATCAAATATGGAACACAGTTGCAACTTACAACTCATCAGACACAAAAATAAAAAAATAGATTTTATATGAAGAAATAAAGTGACAAGATAATAAAAATATATGAATGAAAATAAAAATACAGACATTTAAGAATAATTATATAGAAAATAGGTAGTAAATAATGTCGTAGTCACAGTAAAGTATTAATTCGAACCCGGATATATTTCATCATGAAAACAGAGAACTATTAAATACAGAAAAATCAAAAATACTCACATCATCAGCAATTATTTTGGTAAATTTATGTCCATCGAGGTCAGCAGAAGCGATGTAGTCCTTATGTGCATCAACCCAGTAGATTCTCTCTGCGATGTGGTCAATAGTAATACCATTTGGCCACTCCACTACAGGTTTCTTGAACAGACGCACAACCTTACTGCCATCTAGTTCTGCCCTGTTCACGCTAGGTTCCCCTGGTGCCCAATCAGTCCAAAATATGTACCTACACCAGGAGTCGATAGAACGTAGAAACAGTACATATAAAATTTCAGACTCGCTTAGGTCTACGCACCGATTTTTAATCAAAGCTCATAACCATGAACGAAATATATTTTTAATTTCTCCAGTTATGTACCCAGTCTATGCATGTCTGGAAAGAAACACCTCCATTTTGATTAACAAAATTGACTTTGTCTGTATTATTTCCCCCTTTTGAAAGACAACCTATTAAAATCCGTCAATTCGACCGCACATATCTCACCCACAAAAAATTAAATCTTTGTAACGCCATACCCTCTCACTGGATGAACGGCAATGCCGCGGGGTTTCTTCAGTTTGTCAGGTCCAAGTATCGTCTTGCGCATGCGACCTTCATAGTTCACGTCTGTACGAATTATCTCTATTTTGGCTTGTATGCCATCAACAAAATACAACACATTCGACACCCAATCTAAAGCCATTCCTTCAATCGATGACAGATGATTCTCTACAAGAATTTCTGGTTTTGCCAATCCATCCAAACATTGTCGCTACAAATAAAAAAATTGTAGGATTACAAATGAGACACTACGAACAATAAACGGCAGCCATACAAATATATTATAAACACAATAATGTTGGTCCAGTCTGCAAAAATGCTTAATGACATGTACGCCTCAAAAATTTGGTCAGAGGCGAGATAAGACATTCTTACAGATGTGCGCAAAGTGATTTTATAATCTAATTAAATACCTGTGAACCGAAGACAGTACACAATATTTAAACCTGGTACACACTGTGAAAACACAGTTCTATCGATCAGTTTAATGTTAAAATGGTTCACTAAAGAATTAACCGAATTATCGTGAAACGTTTGTGAAATACGTGGACGTATCCGGTTATACTTACACCAATAGAATCATTGATAATGTCAGCCCAATACACACAGTTGTTGCGCATGTCAAAATCAATCGCAATCACGTTTCTGAGACCAAAAATGGGTAATGGTCTAAAGGTATTGTCAGCATCCAAACTTATTCTTGTAATTTTATCTCGCTGAGCAAGAAGAATAAATTCTTGTTCCTCACTGAAAATAAATAACAAAATAATTTAACTGCTATAAATCATATATTACTATTATCACATAAAAATCTATAAAATATTGCGTTTCGATAAAGCCAAACCCTTGACGTTAAGCAACACAGAAAAGTCATTCTGTAATGGTCATCAAATTAAGTTAATGAAGATTAGAAGAAAACGCTCTGACAATTATACGGAACATTTTTGAAGTGGGGACTGCCAAGGAATGGGATGCACAAAAAGTAATTCACGGACTGAGAGAGATGTTAAAATACTAATCTGGTCAGATGGTCACATCAGACGCACTCACTTGATGGTGTGTAAAACAGCAGCGATAAAAGTCAATGCTTTAAAAGACATTATTACAATAAAATATTCTAACAAAATCAAAGATCATGCACTGAGAGAACATTTTCTTAGTGCACGGAACAAAATAATGAAGATCGCTTACTCAAAACGGCATGGAATTTTGTCTGGCCTAAATTTATCATCGTTGCTGACGGTGCAAACGTCACCAGCAATTTTTACGTAGCCTTTCGTACGTTCGTAAGTCTCTCCTGGACGACAAGAAGACGGGGGCTTGTATGGATCAAGAACGGACGTCCTGTTATGAATGCACGTTCCTGTAGGCATGTGCCTTACGAATCCAACATCACTGCAAAACAGAAAGTAAAAACCATCTGTAATGGTGCCACCACAAAACTAAACAATACATAAACACAGGAAAAACATGTATGATCAATGCAACATGCTACACCGCTGCACTAGAATTAAAAAAAAGAAAAAAAAAACACGAAAAGGACGGGAAGAATTAGAGCACTACATAGTTTACACACATCAGAAATAAGTGTTTATGGCGGGGGAAAGTGTACTTCTGACGTGCGTAAATATAACAGACACAGTGCAGTTTCAACTACAACTCTTTGTCATTTCAAAAAACATATACGCGTTCATATTGTTTTAAATTTGAGAGTCCATTTTTATTTTTAACCACTTTCAAACAGAGGGGAATACCGTACAACTGATGAACCCACGTTTTAACACAAAGAACTGTAAAAGAAACGGCAATTATTAATCAAAGTAAACAATTTAATTCACTCTTTGTTTCGAAGTATTCCCTCATCTCCCCTCCCCCAAAGAAACATACTACCACCATCTTCGGCCTATATATTATTACAACCAAGACCATCGACGATGACAATGTCACAAGATACGTCGCAGGAGATAAAAGCTGGCTTACCAATCATAATCTTCTATATCACAATCACAAACTTCCATTTTAATTGGCCTATCATAATCACGTCCATTGAAGCAGTTCGAGTGTGGAATGCGGCGCTGGTACGTCTCCTTGAGGCCTAGCACGCATGGCATGTGAGCACCAGAGCCACTGCTTGGTGACCAGAATTTGTAATCTTCGTCGGTACAATTATAACCTGAAACGTGTCGTGAAGACACACACAATAATCAATATCTATTTGCAGTTTTAAAATATCTCCATATTACAATATCTTTCTCGAAAAGCAATTATTAACCTGATCAAAATATTCTTGCATTACAATAGGCAAATGAGAAAGGCAGTCAAATTGAGGGTTCATAACGTAGCCTCAAAAATAAGCGCTAAAGCTCCGTGCGTATACCCGGCCACCAGAAGGCATGGCCGTTACGCTGAAGCCCCGGCAAGTAGGAGGGCGCTGCGGTGTGCGTGGAAGGGTCTGGGCGCGAGCCCGCCTGCAGCCGCCGTCGGTGCAGATCTCAGTGGTAGTAGCAATCCATCCATCCATTTTACTTAGATCAGGAATAAATACAAGACCGAGGCACAACAGACGAGACGAAGTTAAAGTCAGAAACCATGACATACAGACAGTAAAGTGGGGATGTAATAACTTTACCCGAGGTTAACAAAATTGCCGATGACATGAAAATGACAGCCTTCAAGGATAATGCAATGTGTAGTCAAAGTTTCATTTACCCTGATAATGGAGGCAGTAAGCACCTCTGAAACATCAGTCTACTTCTATAATACTACAAAGTGCAATATCCCTTCTCATATATCAAGATTCACACCTTTAATAAAAATTGTCTTTAATCTTTTAAGTTTAGTTTAAGACTTACTAAAAACCTTGCTGAAGTCCACTTTAATTATAAGCCACTGATGCTGTCCTGTCGCAGAACCAAACATGGTGAAAACAGTGGTGTTTTCACCAGGCTCCGTCATCAGGCCATAAATCCGTAGATCATCCGCGTGAAACTTCTGCGTGTGCCAATTATCTCCTTCGTCCGTCGAGTACAGCAGTTCTCGAGTCTCTCCTTGAGATCTAAAGTACTTCACTGCCACGAGAATGCCGCCATGATCGCCGGCATTGAAGTAGTAATAGTCTTGGAACAGCTAAGTCACAGTCAAAATACAAGAACTTACAAGACTACTCATTCTTATTAACCATTAAAAACTAAAGTCTGGATGGGCTGATACGTTATCCAATTACTTTGTGCTTCTGTATCAAAATTAACTAGCTTCATGCTCTAGAGGACTCAGTCTCGATAAGTGCGCAGACCCGTACACTTTAGTACTCAAAGAAGATATAATAAAAATAAGCGCATACAAAACTAGCAAAAGGGAGCGTTTCAATTATGCCTTCCAGGGTCCACAGTGGCCACGCGGTCTGAGGCGTTGGCCTTGTGCCGCTTGGTCGCCGGGACCACAGGTTCGAATCCCACTCAAGCCACAGATGTTTTTCTGTTTTGTGCTGTCCTGCGTACAGGTAGAGGCCTCGCGACGGGCCGATCCCTCGTCAAAGGACTCCTACCGATTGTCCATAGAAAAAGCCAACTAAGAAGTTGGGGACCCGTAAAGGGTATCGGAAAATGTAGAAACATTGTTAAACCGGAAAAAGAAGAATAATTATGCCTTCCAAAAACAAGGCGAGAAGTTACGTTCACAGTATTCAGTACTCAGTAAAGTTTCTATGACATGTTTACAACTCACCCGCCTCCAAGTGAGACCTGCATCACGACTGAGGAACACGCTAGGGTGGCCTTTCAGAGACGTTCCTATAACGCCCATAGCAATTATGATACCAGGAGCAGACTTGGTAGTGAGGATAGGAACAGAGCGTGTCACAGGATACAGCTGGGAAAACCTCTGTGACAAATGCAGCGAACAGTTCTCTGCCTGAAAATAAGGAAACATGAAATATATTTGTTACCACTCTTTGTAAAGATGAACATCATGAAAAGACCAACATATAATGAGCTATCCGAATGTAAGCTTACTATGTCGCACGCGATCTGCCGGCCCTCGTTATCGACCAAAAACGCTCGCAAGGGTCTCCATTCCCCACCACGGTCAAACGTAATTAAAGTCGAGATGTGTTCTGGTCCTACGCGGCTTAATCCAGCTGACAAAGTTATCTGGGATGCGATATAGATTCCACGCAGTCCTTGTACCTTGGTAAGATCAGCAAACGATTCATCTGCCACATCTCTGAGAACAAAACTGAACGTGAATTAACATGAAATGACAGGACAGACATTCCGCGTGATGTAAAATCGAAACAATTAATTGTAACCAACAGATTTCCAGCCACGCTGAACGTAGGGAGAAAAATCAGCATTCAACTTAACATGACACTCGCCTGAGCCACGATCCCATCCAGGTTGAGTTGGGGAAGTAACAGAAGATTCGTTCAAGTGACAGAGCAAAGTAAATTCCTGTGGAGTCCTTCAGCTGGGACACATAAAGGTTGGTAAGCATTCCTGTGTGATTCACAACCACCATCACTTGTCCATCGCTGACATCTGCCACGTGGTACGCTCGACGGTCCAGCTCAGACTGGAAGTGCGCTCGCATGAAATTTCCCCGTTTGTACGAGACGTAGAGATCCAAATTGTTCTACAACAAAAATTTGGTAGAATCAGCATTACCTTCCATTTGAGGTTAATCGCTGCGTCTATCCGCTGGACTTTCTTAAACCTCCTGAACACACTACTTCAATGTGACACTACAGCATACCAGCAATAACAGTAGCCGTCAAGAGACAGCTTCAACAACCACTGATAATGGTGCAACTGCTACTGATAATGATGAAAAATGAAGCTGAAAGTCATAGGAAAACATTTTCATACCAAGAAATTACACAGCAGTCGTACTTACCACATCGACCTTCTTAGTTGCAAACATGAAGTCATCTCGAACTTGAAAGTCCTCCACTCCACGAATAAGCACCGTGTAATTACGTCCTTCAAACATGGTAGGAGATGCTAACACAGTAGACGATCCACTGGGCTCCTCACGTTCAACATACAAAAGTCTCGGCTGTCCATCGGCGTCTGAATTGAACCAGAAGAAGGCTTTCACATACTCCTGGACCACTGAGAACGTATGCCCATAATCTCTTGTAATCCATAGCTGTTTTGAACATATTACAGAATATTATAATATATGAGTAATCTGACAGTTGCACAGATCACTTCTGTCAAGATACATACTCTTATGATGGAAAATATGGATCCTGCCGTACAGAAAAACTATTCCTCTAAAGCCGTATAATTTCCTGACTATATTACGCGTTGTTTAAGATTATCCGCTAACAAAAATCATAGTAATATAATACAATATGACTCTCAAGCGCAATATAAAGACCCACTTCCTTGTGATGAATGAGTAGTTTCTTCAATTAAACAAAAACCAGATTAAGAACATATTAAAGTATAATTTTTTCTTAAACTTACCATGCTTTCAAACTTTAAATAATCTGATTCCATAACTGACGACGGTCTTCTGGATTGTAGTGCCATGTAGTTTGGTAGAGGTTTACCAGTGTTTCAGAGAGCCTTGCTGATTCTACCACCACAGCAATGAGTCAAGGATGGAGGCAGCAAGTCCCTCTAAAACACTGGTAAACTTCTACCAAACTACATGGAACTATAACCCAGAAGACCGCCATCTTTATACACATCACCATTAAAACGACAGACCCCAACGATCCTGTATTTAATAACTAGCACAGAAAAAACAGATACTTAAAGAAGAGCTCACATTTGTATAATCCTTTATTTAAATTAATATATGAAGGAAAAAAGAAAGCTGAAATTGAGTTATGCATAATATCTCAAATTTACCTGCTTTGCAGAATTTGCTTTATCATAGACAAGGAAGATCAGAGGTTCATCTTCATGAAATGAAACTTCTGATGGAGTGAATGAAACCTTTATCCTCATAATGTTTTTCCCATAATCTTTTGTAACAAAAATCACTTGATTCTGAGGATCCGTAAACACACACTGAAAACACAAAAAAACAATAAATCAACTGCCACCACCTTCAAACCATTTCATTTGTAACTAAAATTTATATATTTCCAATCAAACTGTATATTCTTAATAACTTAGACTTTCCAGAAGTCTAAATTTTTTATAACACTAACCATAATCAATTATACATACATTCTTTTATTAACTGGATCAATAACAATAGGATTTCATTTAATATCAAGGAACTAGTACTAAAGGCTCCAGTCTACGTACTTTGGTTCAATTTCATTAAGCTAATTACAGTGTTATTTAACTAATTTAAAAAATACTATGAAAATTCAAAGCAAACTGTTCTCATCATTTTATCAGAGATGTTACTCTTTAAAAAATCATGTCACTACACACAGTATAGACCTAATATTTCTCTTCTCACTGACTGTTACGAAACTATTAATTTAATTTCTTGTAACATGCACTCACATGAACCAAAACACACTACTGACAAACATAAACAATGGTACAAATAACAAGTAAAACCTCTTATCTTGCAAACCACTCTATAACACAAACCAGGCCTGCACAGATCGCGAGCACAAGGTAACCATGGTTCCTACAAATTTCACAACAGCACATAATTTCTTGTATATTATTCTAATGTAGTTCTGGTAGCTTCACCACTGGGAAACAAATTTACATGAACATTATTTCCATTTAAGACATTCAAGCTGATAGTTTTGGAGGGGACTCCTACTTGATAGGAAATTTGTGCAAGCCTAACATAACCTATGTTTTATTACTGTATCAGACATTATTTACTTACATGAGAATTATATTTTGGATGAATAAAGAATTTCTCCAGGAATGCATATGAAAATCCCTCGCCTTCCAGCCTGAAATCTTCTGTCTTGTTTTGAAATGTGTTTCCATAGTCGTATGAGATGTATACTGCTGAGGGCCGATTGCTCGCTGCTGCAAATCTCGGCGAATCGCGAGCCAGACATAAAATAACATCTGATCCCTCACCGGCCCAATGTACCATCAACTGCTGATGGCTATCATTCAGGGGAAAAACCTAAAAACAAAAACTTTACATTTCAGCAGCCAACTCAAAACATATTAGGCCAGCTAAAAGAGATTCGCGGTCCCCTGGAGGGCCGCGGTTCCTACTTTGGTAAACGCATTGACATTTCATGTAGCGTATTCGAACGTCTTTCAGCGGAATTGGCAACGCCGAATATTACTCATCATCACGAGAAATCACAACACAATATTACTCATCATCACGAGAAATCACAACACAAACTACGCTCCCATCAACAAAACATTACAATCCTACCAATTCACATGAAATTTTTCAGTGCGATGCAACTGAGGCCTGTACGGGTAAGCTTAGCTTTGTTTCCAACAGCATTTTAGGACAGAATAGTCCTATTAAGATAAACTGCGTAGTATTGCACAACACTTAAAAACTCAAAGTATTACGGCACACACATTTACACAAAGCATACAAAATCTGGCAAAAAAATTAAAGCTCACATGGGTTGCAACGTTGGCTTCAGGTATTGCAGACCTCTTGTATACATTGTGACCTGTCAGAGAAACTGATTTCCGAATACCGGTTGGATATTGCCCAGAATTACGTGTTTCACTACTCTCAAATATATTAATATTTGTATTTTCTTTACGGGGTTCCACATAAAGTGATCTAATACGCTGCCCGTATATCTCTGAAATTTGTGGTGAAACAACTATCATAAAAAGTAAGAACACCAAATCCTCAAATCTCCCAATAACAGCCATCTTGCATGACTAGCACGAATCAACTACAGCAAGAACCTCTAGCAGCCAACCTAACAAGCAGCAATTATGCCAGTCCTGTGCACATGCGCAGAAGTCATGAACCCCGCATAAAATTGATAATTGCTGTCTTCTGGGTTGTTGCGCCATGTAGTCTGGCAGAAGTATACAGACGTTTCGCAGGTCCTTGCTGGCTCCATCATCAGGGCGATAATGAAGGCAGCAAATTTTGCATTTTAATATTTTCGTTCCTAAAGAGCACTTTTGCTCGAAAGCAGCTTTCGGGTTGTGGCATTTGTTCCTGTAACTTTGGTCGGGAAACCTCTATCGTGCTTTGCTTCCGAGGTACTGAAACCACCCTTATCGGGATTCAAACCCAGAACACTTTTTCTGAAGTGTGACCTTTCTGAATTCTCCTCCTGGTTTCAGGGCAAAAGTATGTAAACTTGGGGGAATATTGGGTTGTCCCTTTTTCGAGCTATAAGCACACAAACACAAACAATTTCAATGTTATGTGTAAGATACTTCGTTTTCTGTGCGTTTTCCTTCTCCTGAGCTTGTAACCATAATTCGAGTAGTGCTATTTTTAGTTGATAAGTTTATCATCGTGACTAATGGACTCGTGACTCCAGGAAAGCCAAACAGCTGTCCTGGCAGCGCAGTCTGACTGAGTGTGCTCACACGTATGAATACAAAGAAGAAATTCTGATAACATAAATATCATAACCAAACACTTTCTTCTTCGTTTCTTTGTCAGAATAGTGACGACGTTTGCATTTTATGAAACATAAAATTGAATATGGCTGACTATCTTCTGGGAGGTACGCTGTGTGGTCTGGTAGATACTGTTACTACTGCCTTCATCAGGACGATGACATGAGATGAAACATGAAACACAAATACTTTCATTTGAGACTAGTAACTTTTTTTAGAAATCTAAATAGCAGGCCGACGATCAGGAATTAAATCCGGTGACTATGAAAAGAACCGTCACACGAAGTCAAGGACGTTACACGCGATCAATGTAGGCCGTGGTTACGAATAGGCATGAATACAAAGGAAACCGCCCCTTATCTGACAAAGCACTGTAATTACTTCGGTTATGAGATGTGGCCCGTGGGGTTTACTTATTGAGATTCATCTTTCTACTATTACGCGTTCTTCACACAACGCACGTAGTGGCCCCTACTTCATATGAAGCACAGATAGAATTTTGTTTATATTCTAAGGTAGGTCTCGTCACACTAACTGGTAGTCATATAACACAAAACATATATCTCATTCCTCTGTATAGCTTCTATTTTAAACGCCATTCAGAGTGAAAAACGTTGACAAAATGTGATGAAAAAATCTGATTGTTTAATAAAACGTTGACAAAATGTGATGAAAAAAATCTGACTGTTTAACTGGATGTTTGTACGATAATTAATTTAGCAGCAATCGATATATAATATGTAATAACATCGAGACCAATAAGATATGCGCAAGATTCATTCACAGTTTCATATCAAGTACGGGTGATATTGGACCGATAATACTAAAAAATAAATTTGCCGTTTGTTGTTAAATGTAGTTGGTTACGGAGATAGCCGACAACACTGTATATATTCGGAACAAACGTAATACCTCTACATGTAGGTTAGAATTCTTCGTTGTCGAACAGCTAGACCGGAAATTAGTCATTTCAAACAAACTGGCGAGTGGGACAAAACTTTTCACTGTATCATAAGGTGACATTCATATGACCGACACTATTATCGCTCGCTTTGCACCGATTAGAACATTCATGTTAGGCCTACTTTGTTATTTGTATCATGTTTGACTTGATAATGATGATAACACTAGTGGACTTTTGGACTAGGACGGGCTAATACGTACAATTGTTGATTTTAATCAGCTTTACGGTTGCTGAATTACCACAGGATAACAAATTGTTTCTAGAAAGTGGATCTATGTCGCTATTTTCCACTACAACTCAAAGATTTCAAGCTTCAGAACACTTTATGTAGGATTTTGTAGCCTCTTACCAAAATAGTGCTGGGGGTAAAGCTGACCATTGACCTCAATCCAGTACCGAGGTTCAATTGATTTCTTTCCATTGTCTCATTTATCGTCATGCTGTGCGTGGATTTAATTGTCTCAGAAGGCCAAGAACACGCATGAAAGGAATGGAGCAATTGGTACATGTGACATCTTGGCATCTGTTAACTACAGAGTAGCCTTTATATGAAGCTCACACATCTGTAACTGCATGGAGCAGGGTCCCTTTTGAGAAGCTAACACAACCTCAAAAAAAAGTTTAGAACCCGAAGGTTAATTAGTGTTCATAATTGCTCATCACCAGTCCCTATCCTAAGCCGCAAGAATCCAGTACAAAACATTTCTCAATAATATCTATAATTTCCATACATAAAAGAATATAAGTATTTTGCTATTAACTTAATTCTAGCAAAAACGATTTGCGACTCTATCCGTACAAAAGCATTTTGGAACACCGTGTACTAGTAACTTAGGTTTCTGAGATTATCTGGTCTAGTCTCGTTGCTTAGCAACCAATCTTCCTTCAACACCATGGCGTCTGCTGCATCAAATGCCTAATTTTTTTCGTACATGATTTTAGCCTTCTGAAACAATTACATCCACGCAAGACCACGCTCACTTTCCGTGACTCATACATGTGCTTTATTTACTGCCCGTCTGAGTGCGTTAGTGTTTGATTTTATACGTAAGGGGACCTTGAGGGTTTGAAGCGAAGGCGGGCTTGAGCTGTATGTACAGTCTAACCTCAAAATCTTTCACACTGTGCTATAAAATCGCTTTTCCCAATGGCATCATATATATGATTGAACCCAGAACTGTAACAACAGCAACCAAACTGTATGCTTCGAGGTCACAGCAAAATTGTACATCACAATATAAATGTCAGAGCTCAGGAACATTGCACTGTTGACAAACAACCACACAATAAAGCCCTTGGTGATGGTCACTACAGCCGAGTACAAACAACACACAATATACCTCATACAGTAAAATAATATCCAACACGATAATGGTATAATGAATTAACTATTTTCACAAACATTTAGGAAATCAGGAAATTAATCATTGTTTAATTCAAAAAGATATTAAACAGAATGATGGAGAACCTCAGAGCTCCATAGCCCACCATAAATTAATTTCTCCACCAGCACTACAACACACAGTAAAATTCCAGATACAATGGTTTTTCCGTATCACAAGCAAAAGATCTTGGTTAGTGAAGATGCTGATAAAGTGTATAATACGGCCTTCACAATTACCAACACACTTCAGCACACCCCTTATATTAAATAATTTTCCCACGGTACAACTGAAAGCTGACAAATAATCCACGTGAGAAATACATTGCCCAAAGTATATCAAAATGAAGATAATACTTGGAATAAATAGCTTTGACTGTAATACTTTACATGTGCCTAACGTAGCAACATACAGCTGTGAATCACAAGTAGTTAGTTACCTGTATTGATATTGTAGAATTTGAGGTTTTCACAGTAGCGAGTACAAAGATTCATCTTCTGGGTTGTTGCGTCGCGTAGTACAGTAAATATTTGTATTGATATTGTTTACATCTAGAATCCATGATGCAGAAAACACGAATTTTGTACATACAGTCACCACCAAAATATACAAAACCCATTTTTTAGTTTGTCCATAGGTCAAGCCAACTAAGAAGTTGGGGACCTGAAAAGGGTACTGGAAAATGTAGAAACATTGTTGAACAGGAAAAAGAAGATATACACATATTTAATAATCAATAAGAATTATGGTAAGGAAAACCATTCTTTTTAAATCCATATACAGCTAAAGCATTTGAAATGTGCTATAGAAGGATGTTGAAAATTAAGTGGACCGATAAAGTACGAAATGAGGACAAGCGAAGGAAGAAGTCTATGGAAAAATCTTACGAGAAGACGAGATAGGATGGTGGGACACATTCTGAGGCACCCAGGATTGGTTAATTTGGTAATGGAAGAAACAGTTGAAGGGAAGAATTGTAGGGGGGAGACAAAGATTGGAATATGTGACGCAGATTTGTGAGGATGTGAGCTGTAAAAAATATGTGGAAATGAAGGGATAGGCGAAAATGGAGGACTGCATCAAACCAGTCAGAAGACTGACGACAAACAATATTTTAAGTAGAGAGATTTAGAGAATACTAATTGTTTATTATAAAATTCAATACTGATGACATACACTTATATATATAATAATGTTAAAAATAATTGCACTTTGCAGTAAGTTGAACGGTATAAAACTAATCTATATCATACAAGTACTTAAATATTAAAATGGACAATTAGAAACACAAAGTGATTAAAGAACATCTCAACCAGCGACCACCAGACTTTCATAGTGAATTAATTGAGTACAAAGTTGCAGCAAGTAATACAATACTTTGTTACTGAATGGAACAGAACGTTCCCCTCGTAATTTTTGAGACGTCTCTGGAATCTCCACATAAAAAAAAAAGCCAACACAATTAATGTTAGTAAGGACTACGGATTATGAAGTTTTAAAAATATTCCTGCCCAGGAATCTTGCTCAAAATGTTAAAAAAATGGTCAGGAAGAACACGCAGTATTTTCAGTGTGTGAACAAAGTTACAAACCGCTGAGGTCAAAATTTACAATACTTTAAATTAAATATATGCATTACTGCACTTCACATAAAATATTCCTATACCGACAAACATCATACCACCACTAATTTCAAACGACATCTACTCAATTTCACAGACAGTATTTCCGTAGTCTTAGCAAGTTACCCTAAAGAGGAAGAAACAAATATACAATATATTAACAGGGAATTATTTGTACAAGACATTCGCACCACAAATCACATAATTATCGGGAGCTGTCGTCTGGGAGTCGTTAAATGGCACGTTACTGCTGTGCCTTTTTGATTCATTGGGGTTTTTGGCGTGCCCCATGAAGTTTGCACAGTCTTTTGCGGCAGTTTCGATGAAGACCCCTGAGCTCCAACATTTTTCCGCGGAGGTTTCACAGGCGTTACTCGTGCCTGTGACGTCTTCTTCGTGCTACGTGGCGGTAGAATCTTTGAAGGTATTTTAGACAGGGTTCTAGCAGGGGTGTTACGCTCACGGAGGCAGTGACCTGTGACCACAGAGCTTCTGCATGTCCCTTGTTGGTTTAACACTTCCAGATGTTCCTAAAACAAGTATCATTCAATTTAATACATCTACACCTACAATATGAGCATACTAGCAAAAGGCGGCAAGGACATTATGTAAGCAAACTTAGTATTAGTAGCATCAATATTCACAGTACACCAAACTCCTACTTAATAATGTAATAACATGCCTCATTATAATTATTTTTCTTGCAAAGAACCTGATGTTTGTACTTCTAACAAGATCTAGGTTGTCAAGATGTGAAAAGGGATGAAACTGCTCAGTATTATCATCATTGGGCTCTGCTGTTAGAAATACAGAAACATTAGGATCTATTACAAAAAAAAATATTTCAGGGGGGATCTGTGAGCTGCCAACCAGACCTTAATTCAAAGTTAAACAGTTTAAAAGTATGCTACTGCAATACACAGTCGGACCATGCGTAAGATGTGAATCACAGCCAATAGAGGTTAAGTATTACACAGAACGCAAAAACTGAAAAAAGTAGAGACACTTATTTATATCATCATATAATTATCACTAACATCACGCAGCCATCTAACAGCAAACACAGGTTGAAATCACAGTTGATAACAAGAATAAAGACGGAGACGCTACGTTCCTCCTAAAACATCGGTAATCACCTTCAAGATTACAAGGAGAGAGAAAGAGACCAAGATAAGAACTCTCCACACCGTATAAATTTTACGTAAAAATTGCATACAGTGAGAATTCTAAAAAATGTCTGTGGAGCTCCAATTATTTAAAGAAAATATTCACGCAGTTGTTAATAGACGGCTACACCTACAACCACTATTTCTATCTGCCACCAATAAACAGGAAAAATATCTGAAATTATAAACTAACCACATGCAAGAGCATCAGAAGTACAAGCAGTGGCACCATCAGAAGTTGGCAGTAGATTATTCTGAAAGCAGAAACACTGGTGCCAACAGGTCAGACAGAACAGGCAGGTTTATACATTCTGTGCCAAGCGAATAAAGACATTGATTTCCCAAATAATCATTTACCACAAACCTGGAAGTCTGTATACGTCGTCATATTCGAAGCTTCTGTATCATTATTTGTTCCTACTCCAGGAAAATTAATCCTAGGAACCTAAAAAATAAACAGTAACACAATACAATGTTTGCGAAATTATCCAGTTTTAAATAATATTCTGATCTGAATGTCACAAAAGTATAAGTACTTCGTTAAACGAATGCGGAAAACACACTTACATTTCGAGGTTTTAAGGATATGAAAGACAGAAGACTAGAAGAAATCTTTGTAGTGTTTGAATCTGATTATTACACATTTATTTTTTGTATTATTCACAGTGATTGCGAGATATCTGGTGATTAGAATACCTGCTTCAAGAAAATATCACACATTTTCTCTCACCAAACTCATACACTTTTTTATTTTAATAATCTGCATGAGGTGGATTGTTCTCAGCTGCAAATGTTCCCAAAATATATGACATTTTTAAGTGTAATATATTTAGTAACGTCTCGCGTTATGTCGAACGGTCATCAGCAGGCGTTTCCATTATCTAGATGGCAGCACTTTTCTGAGAAACTCAAAAAGTTTATCATCATCTGTCTCACAGATGTTGTACCGGACGCAAATCAACAAAAAATTGTAAGTAAACAAGGAAAGGCGCACTGTGCTAAAACGGAATTGATGATAATGGTATTTATCACTGTTTATGAGAAAGGTTCACCCCACACATCTTAAATAAAGCATTCTTAACGTCTTGCGTTATGTCGAACGGTTATCAGCAGGCGCTTCCATTATCCAGATGGCAGCACTCTCTGAGAAACTCAAAAAGTTTGTCATCATCTGTCTCACAGATGATGTACTGGATGCAAATCAACAAAAAAATTTAAATAAACCCTGCTCTTCATGAAGTGTAACAACAAAGTTGGCCTAAATCTGCCTTGACAGCATCACACAAACCCACTACATCAGAAAAGCAGTACATAAAATTATTCACAAGTTCCTGCATTTACACACATATAACCTTAAGCAGCGTTGATTCTCGACTGCATCAACAGAGATGAGTTACGCTTTCGTGTGCAAAGTGCTCGTTTCAGATAAGTCAACTTTCCACATTAACAATCAAGTTAATAAGCCCACAGTTAGCATCTGGTGCTCAGAGATTCTACATGTGATCCAGGAAATTAAAAGGCAAAGTCCCTAGAAAACAGTAGTAAAGGTGATGACCAGAAATGAAACAAGCAAGGCGGGACGGAAAAAATAAATTAACATACCACGGTTTGCTGAATAGGACGAGTAATGTTCCCTAAGGTAGCGGCCCTTTCAATTCCGGCCACCTTCCGTAATTTATGCGAACCGAGAAGAGGAGTTCCTGGTGTGTTCTTACGTTTAGGAGCTCTTAACTGAGATCCCATTTTAGATTCAACATCGAGTAGACGATCTCTCGCAAATTTCTGCAAAATAAAATAAATAAAAGACGTGTTATTTTTATATATAATCAACTTCATGGCACAGGGTCATTTTCATGCAACTCACTGTTATTCATCTCGCCAATGATCAGCGTCAACATAAAACCTTATCACTGGGCCCTATGACTTTTCACTTCTAAGAAATGTTGCCACCCATTCACTTAACCATACTTTCAAATCCACAATCAGAATCAAAAATTGTCTCACTCCCACGGTTAAAACATTTACTCTAAGCTGCCGCATATTCTTGGGCATCAACGATGAGTTCAGCCGTTCTTGATCGTCGAAACTGCCGCATCGTCTGCCGGACGCAGCTGAACCAGCCCATCGCAGCAGTTTCATAATCTCAATAGATTAATACAACCCAGTACATCTAGATGTCAGTCAGTTACTCACCTTTGCTTTCTTTTCTTCTTCTTTATGCTCTTTGTGCAACGTCCACTGACTATTAATTACGTCTGAGACTGGTTGACCATGTATCTTGAAAGGTTTCTTGTGGCGTTTCTCATAAAGGCTGACATACTTCATCAGCTCCTTTTCGACCTTCGGCAAATCCTAACGAGAGGGAAGACGACCAAAATTCAGCAACATATCAACTTAATTCTCTGACGGAACCCCAAACCTTGCCACTGATAAATGATCATTTGTAGATCATGAAAAAAGACAAGTGCGAGCCGAAGGCTCCACCTTCCTCGACCAACAGTGCGACGGATTCTAAGGAAGTGTCTGCAAGCGAAGCGAACTTAAGAAAAGTTTAACATCTCAGAAGTGCACTGGCAAATGTGTACTTACAGAATCAACCCCAACGTCTATGGACTTTAAGCCACCATTTTTTTTTTAAAAATGAACATTTATACTTCAAAATGATTGGTCTCACTCAGAACTGATGTTAGAAATTACAAAATGTATTTATTTATTTATTAAAGAGGCAAATTATCAGATTACCTTTTGAATTAACTTCCTTTCTTTTTCTTCAATCAGCAGCTGGCCTCCACGATTATGGAATAGCCGGTCTGGGTCATTCGCTCGATTTTCCAACTCCAACATCTTGTCCCAAAGTTCCTGGCGCTGGTAAGCCAATTGAAAAATCTCACTGAAAGAAAAAGCAGTAAGTTTTATAAATAAAAAAAAAATAAAATCCTACCGCAAAAGTGACAATTTTAAATGTCCGTACTGATATTCTCCTAAACTTCATGCAGGGAATTTGGTACCTATTGGAACTGCTAACACCTTGTATTCCGAACTGCATAAAAAGTCATACATTACAACTATTTGCTCACTCCAAAAATTTGATGATCACAAATCACTTACTCATTTTGATCATAGTGAGACTTTAACTTCTGGACTTCAAGTTCATGTAGTTCTAAGAGATCTGCGGTGAAACACTCGGAATAATATGGTCGAAACTGCACGCGCTCATCTTCGCTAATCAAACACTTGTCCCACAAGTGTTTGAGTTCTTCTCGAATCTCCTCGACAAAGCGTTTGATGTTTTGGCGTTTCAGTACTTCGCATCTCTTTACTTCATCCTTCAACTGTAATTATGAAAATGTTAAAAATTATTAAACTGTAAGAAGTGTTGCACGCCTCTTACTTCATCCAAACACAAGAACAATCAATATATACAATAAGATACAGTTAATGATGACGCTAGATGGCAAAACATTCTATTTTACAGGAGCTGCTACCATTATGCAGCTTTTAGAAGTGCTTTAAATATGAGAGGTAAGAATGATAAAATAACAGGGATGGAGAAGAAACACAGAGGAAAGGAGGTACAGACAAGTAATTAATAAATGGAAGAAGAAAGGGGAAGATATGAAATAATGAAAGAAATAAGTTCTCATTGAATTTCAATGGTCCTTTCCTGCTACTTAAAAATAATGACAAGTAAACAACGAGAGTTAAACACAAATGTTGCAAAAATTATTAAAAAAAATCTCAAATATAAAAAGTGATTAAATGAAATAGTTTCAAGTCAAAATATCACCTGCATTCAGAACGGACCATGCAATCGTACAGGCTTTTCCTTCCGTGTGATGTCAAATTTTGCGTATCCTTGTTCTCACACTGGAGTGTAACGTAATGGCATTTATTCTATTACAATTTTTTAAAAGAGATTCGCAAATTATTTGTACGCTCAAGAGTTCAACTTAAGTTCTGACAATAATATATTCCTTTTTGAGATTAACAGAAGCTTGCAACAGCTTTCTCCACTGTAACATTATACGTTTCTCCTGACATGTGTGATGGGTCCAGTAAGGTCTAAAAATTGTGAACAGCGCGAGAGTTGAAGTTTCTGCAGTATGAAAACTGTGGATTAAGATGCCATGTCATGCAGTAAGGATATCCTGAAGATGAAGGTAGTTAAGTTCATCCACTGTGTCTGTGAAGGCATTTAGAGGGCTTACATGTAAGTAGATGTTTTTAACTCTTATACAGAAAAAAGTAATACTACAGAGGGGCCCAAAAAAATGTATACCACGTTCTCCTGATTTAACACCCCTCAACTTCTACTTATGGGGGACCATAAAGGATGTGGTGTATCGTAGAAAACCAGCTACAGCGGCGGCACTTCGGGAAGAAATTGAAATGTCGTGCGCGGCAATCCCAGCAGACACTTTGGCCAATGTCGCTCGAGCGGTAGTTCGCCGAAATCAGAAATGTCTGGACACTAATGGTGACCACTTTGAGCACCTTTTGTAATTGTAGAATTCAAACATGACTTACGGTCAAACCCTTGATGTCTGTATAAATTTAGTATTAAAGCTTTTATACAGGTTTTTGTTTTGTTGAAGCGTGTATATATTTTTTGGTCCCCTCTGTATTTACATTTGTGGTTTGTGGTGTTCTAGGGTATGATTGGTTAGTTCTATAGGTGGCAACAGCACAGTGCTTAGATACAGCAGCATTTCTCTTTTCGTAGGTAACGCATTATATTTAGTATAGAACATTATTTTATTTTCTTAAATAACAGAAGTTATACATACAGCTTCCAAAGTAGCTGAAGAGTGGCCACGATAAGTAGAGAGGAAGTTCTCTCTGTGACCGTAATCTTCACGGAGACGATCCCAAAGTTGCGTGAGTTTCTCACGCAACTCAGCGACTTGAGCTTTACCATCTTCCAGTTGTTGTTCTAATCTCTGGTGTAATTGCTGCAACACGGATACAAAATCTTTGCTACGTGTAGCTAATCTTCATGCCACAGCCTGAGGACCAATGCGAGTGCGGCAGAATATAGAGAGGCACTCTATCAGGGTTTGATGATACACACAAGAGTACTGTTTATTGAGGAACGGAAGCAACTGGAGGAGTCTTTTTCATAAAATGGTGGAAACGACATTTGAGGAGGATGGTTACGATCACTGCTGTCATCACAAAAAATTCCGCTCTCTTTTCATCCTCTGAAACTGGGAATTTTAGCTCACGTCTGTATTCTTTAATACACGCTCTCAGCTTATATACAGAATATCCCTGGAGGTAAAAAGATTTTGAGACAGGAAATAACACAAAAATGAGTGAAATGGTCATAGCAGTGTTTCCTTAAGAGGGAGCTGCACCCCCCCCCTGCCCCCCCCCCCCCCCCAGGGGGCATTGAAACTTTTTTCATGGGGGCCAACAGCCCAATTATAAAACACAAGTCTTCCTTGAAAACAGAGTAGGCCTAGATGGACAAACACAATATAAAGTCTCTTATGCAGAAAAACACGCAACGAAGAATTACAAATTTTATAAAACACTGGAAAAGAAAATGGAAAGATGTCAAAGTAATGAGATTGCCCACAGCAGAGAAAAAAAATAAGACCATCCAGCAGGAGGAAAATATTTAGGAAGGTCTAAAAACACTTCTTGTATTGACCTAATACTGGATTAAAGAATATTTCTGCAGGTTTAAAAATTATTTAAGATTAAAATGTAGTATAAGAATTCTAATTCCCAAATCAAGAACAGCATAAATTAACAAGTAGACAGTAAAGCTACGTACGTTCAGTGCAGCCATATTCTCCCTGGTCGGTCTGAAGGCCGCATCCTTTCCACATACGAGTCTCTCGAATTCCTGGGTTGGAGCAATTGCCAGTTCGGTCATAATGGCAATTATAGCTGACTTGGATTCTTGATACAAATGCATCAACCGTTGCTGAAATTAAAAAGAATATGACTTGTAGCATTCAACACACATTACGAGACAAAAATAAGAAACAGTAAAACCCACACAAAACTTGATAAACTAGATTGGCAGCCACTGATGACATATTTATGTGAAATATGCTCACCTTTTCAATATCTCTTTCCTTAATGTAGTTTTCAAAATCATCGAGTCGTTGCTCGGTGGGAAACTGATCAGTAAAGCCGGTCTGTGGCTCTATTCCCAGATCATCGCAAAGCATTTTTTCCTGTATGAAAGAATTAGAGGATTTTAACTTCAAAATGTCCATATAAGTGACAGAATACTTACTTCCTAATGACACACTTAAGCAAATGCAATCCATAGCAGAAAAAGGGGGCAAAAACATGTAACCCTGAACTGGAGAAGTGCTTAGTGAATTCTGACTAAAGTAGTGTCCACCGAGGTTTACATATACAAAAAAATATCACCTCTTGCACAAATGTTACATATCACGTACAGCGCTTATAATATGTAAGAGGAAAATAAAAACTGATACAAAAGTTTTGTTAGGAAACTTCATGGCAAAAGACCACGAAAACTGATTTTTAGAGAAGCGAGTTTGAAGATGTGAAATGGATTCAATGACGAGTTCTTGTTGCAATAATCCTGAGCTTCCAGGTTCCAATTCAAGGCATCTATTGACAAATCTGACAACTTGGAAGACACATCCACAACCTTGTTTAAATCATATGGCATGTTGACAGCTGTGATGATAAGTAATAATAAATAATCCTATTCCATTTATTGTGCAACAATACATACCTTCCTCTGCAGATCTGCTAATCTGCATGCAAGCGACTCTTTGATTTTGCGACATTCACCTAACTGGTGTCGCAGTGTCCTTTCAATATTGCACAGAGGCAGATTTTCAAACTCAGGTACAGAAATCTCCATATTAAGATCCTAAATATGGACAAATCATTAATTGACAGACTTGATAAAGAAAAAAAGAACAGATGCAGCATGCTGGTCCTCCGTGTGAGGATGCTAAAGACTATTGTTAATATTGTGTTGTGACAAAATTATTACAGATGTCTACATTAAAATTGTATTACATAACCTGAAAATCTTGTGCCACTGCCATGTTTATAATAGTTAACATACAAATAATATTAAAAATATATTAAAATTAGCCGTCAATCACAAATATAATATTAATAAAAGATTAAAATATCATTTTACGTTCCCTATCGAGTACTCGATTTACAAATGGAACATACACTACATGTTTCGGCTATATATAGCCATCATCGGGTGTTATGTATTTAAACTTATCACTGAATTACTGATTTTTTGTCTTCATTTTTTCTTATGATGTTCGTGTAAAATGATATTTTAATCTTTTATTAATATTATATTTGTGATTGACGGCTAATTTTAATATATTTTTAATACTATATAAATCACAATATGATGCATCTACAATATCTCATACAAATAATAGTTCATATGGCATTTTTGAATACGTTTATGATCTATCGCCATACCAAATTATTCACTAAGTTATTACCACAAAACCAAATAGTGATTTCAGGGAGACAGCATTTTCCTTCGAAAAAGTTGAATTTTTTAAGCTGTTATGATTCACCATTTGAGGGCCCTGTATTAAACAGCCTTACAATAAAATTTGTTTTATCTCCAAGTCAGGCAGGCACAGCTGCAATTAACACACAACATGGTGACCTCACAAGCCTACTTTCTTGCTTACTTCCGTTTTTAATCATTTATAAAACAGCCAATATTAAAATAATTTCTCTTTCTCTATAGCAGAACAATATTCCAGCAAACGTACAATTTGTATTGCAGCCCAGAAAATATAAATCTTGTTTTGCCCTTCTTATTGTTGAATGGATTCTGCACTATAACAGACAAAAATTTATCGAAATTGTTATTAATATTACCTTTCTCAATTCCGATATCTCTTCAAGATGCTGTTCAATCTTTGTCACAAACAAGTCCTTATTCTCTTGCTCCTCTTCTAACATTTCCTCAAACAATTTCTGAAGAAGCCACAAACAGGAAATAAAAATCATATATGGGCAGAAATTTCAATGAAACACTGTTGAAAATCCCAAATATATAATATTTTTTTAACCCTGCAAAGTGCAATAAACAAAACAAAAAACTACACTGATTTCTTAACATATCCCACACTTTTAGCACTTACTTAGCAATTATCACAGTGAAGCAATATTAAAGATGTTCTGTAAGTTTGAAGTTGTAACTACTTTGTACTCGACACTTCAGAGTTTTATGTAAACTGGTATCTGCTAGTAACTGTTCAATATGGATCAAAATTTACCCCTTCTCATACCCCATATTAACTTGGGTTTTGTTTCGCTCCAAAAATATACCAATAGTTCACTGACAGGAACTAACTCTCGTGGATTTCTTTTATACTTCCTTGGCTTCAATGATCACAGTGCTAATATATTATGCCTATATTTGGACGGTTATTGAAAGCAGTTGTGAACACGTGTCATGCTTACTATTCTGTTATTATGGCACACAAATCTGACTGAGACAGGGAAACAGAAGACATTTCTGTTGAGTCCCAAAGTAACACATACTTCTATGTCACAAGCAGAACTTAGGCCTTAGATTCAGACACTTCTGTCAATACACAAGCTCTATAATGAGAAGGAAGTGAAATTTTTTAGGTCTACCCATTAAAATATCCTAGCAAGGTCTCAGATAACTTGGGATAGTAATAAACAGCTGTTCTTACACAGAAAATTTTGAAAGAAAATACTAGCCTACATTAATTTATGTATTGTAAAATATCACAAAACTAAACCAGAACAATGTGTCCCTTTTTGGCGTCACATTCAGAAAAAATAAATGGAAGAAACAATGTTTAAGCCCTGTGAAAGAAGTTCCTCAGATCACTTATAAATGTATTCACACAAATTTCATATGTATTGGCTAGTCACACATCTGTTTTAGTATGTCACTAATTACACTGCAATTCTTTCATGTGCACCTAAATCACTTAGATGCTGAGACTTTATTCCAGCACCAAATCTCACAACTAACAACCACATGAATTAACATTCTCTTCATTAGTTGATTATGTTTAAAAATTCAGTAACCATTGTAATATTTTCTTTGCCCACTCCATGCATCACAAACAGCAGCAAAAAACAAATAATTCTGATAACTAATAACCATAAAAATAATTTAAAACTTGATCTTAAAATTGTACTCACCTGCACATGCTGCTTCACCGCCTCACATCTCTGTCCTATACTTATATCATCGTAACCACATTCTCCCCAAATCGATGCAAGTTTGTCCATATATGTTGTTACAGTATTATTAACTGCTGTGCTTACATCGTTACAGTAGCTGAAGGGGAAGAAACCATTCATTTATATTTCTTGGATTTTGAAAGTGGAAACACATTCCTTGAGTAGAGTAGAGTAGAGTTTATTTACATTCCATAGATCCTTCTTAGGACTCAACCAAAGGATGTAGAACATGTCATTTCATACAATATACATACACTTCAGAACTTTCAACACAAGTACAAGAACGTATTTCACATATCAATGTACATAAATTCCAGATTCTGCAATACAAGTATGAAAAATAATTTTACAAATTAATATACATAAACCTCAGAATTTTAAATATAAATACAAAACTTGCTTTACATATACGTAGATTATGGATATAAAGCTTAAACATTTTCAGCAGAGATGAAATCATCTACAGAATAGAAGGAGTGAGTAAAGAGGTAATCTTTCAATGCAGGCTTGAATACCTTTATATCATAATTTAGACTTTTAATTGTTGGTGGAAGATTATTAAACAACTTGATACCTGTATAGTACACTCCTTTCTGATATTTAGTAAAGTTAGCATTTGGCACATATAGATCATGTTTACGTCTTGTATTTAAATTATGTACATCTGTATTTCTTTTAAATTTATCCATGTTTTCCACCACAAATGATAGCAAGCAGAGTATAAATTCACTTGCAAGTGGAAGTATATTAAATTTACGAAATAATTTTCTACAAGATAACCTGCTTTTGACACCGGCCATTATTCTAATTATTTTCTTTTGTATGTAAAAAACTTCATTACTGTCTGTTGAATTTCCCCCAGAAATTAATCCATATGACACTACAGAGTGAAAGTAAGCAAAGTAAACTAGCTTTAAAGTATCTATTGTCATGAGTGGTACGACTGTTCTCATGGCAAAGCATGCAGAGCTTAATTTGGGAATAATATACTCAATGTGTTTCTTCCAATTTAAGGTATTGTCGACTTGTAAGCGAAGGAATTTGTTTGTTTCAACTTCCACAAATTGAATTGAATTGAAATGTTGCATATCACACTACAGATCCCAGGCAAGTCAGAAAATGCTTTTCCATGTATTTTTATTTATCACACTGAACAATATTTCAAATAGCCTCACATCTCAACCTGCTACCTATATTTTACATTACACACATTTTCTGTATGACAGACAAGTTATGAGGAAGTTAGTGAAGTTTGGTTTGAACATAAAGTGAAGTGTAGATTTTTAAACGACTGGGTAATAAGCCTCAATAATATGGGCTACCACATGCCAGTTTTCAAAACTGCCGAATATGATAGATAACTTTGGTATCAAGAGTTTACACAAATTGTTCTTTGCTGGTACCACCTTTTCAGGCATCTTCTACACAAAGTAAAAAATAAAAGATCCAGCAAAGTATGACATGTCTACCAGTAATTTATTTCTAGACGACAATGTATACTTGCCATTGGAAAGTAAAACATTTTTACCTAGGACATCAAATTATTCGACAAGAAATATGTAATATGCAGTACCAACATAGAATAGAAGATGCCTCCATGGACTACACACAATGCAATTTAAACCTTATTACAGAACGGTGCTGATTCTCAAAAGTACTAAAATAAGAACATATACTTACCTAGAAGGAATAAAACTGTCCATATTTATGATTTAAATGTTAAAACAACACATACGAAATAAAATCTTCAAATGACTCTCATAACCAACCAAAGAAGCTAACTGAGGGCAGAGGCCTTACCCGTTGTACGTTATATAAATATCTTGAAAAGCAAAAATTTGATTGGTTGAAGAAACAGACGTTCATTGGCTGAATTTAAACTGTATCTGACGTCATCAACCACAGATTTGAAAACATTGCAATTTTCAAGCAATTACTGAGAGTTTCGAATAATCTGTGGTTTGGAACGCCAGCAGGGTGCGTTTATGTATAACTCTGTAAGTATGAAAAGTTTATATTCGGTAATAAAAAAAGAAAAAGAAGAAGAAAGCATACAAAACCCAGCACACTGAGAACTCTCACACCAAAATGTTATATTGTTTCACAAATTTATTTGACTTTAATTGAACATTCTACATTGTAAAAATATTTGTCTCAGGCAACTAAGAAGTTCATACACGTGGTTCTTGGCCATATGCGTCCTTCCCCTAAACACGACTCAAAGTACCTGATGCCCAACTATCCAAGAATAATATCCCGTTTTTATGGAACCTGAAGATTCATTGCCATAATGTTTATTAGATCCTGCGACATGATCCGAATCTGAGTCAGCGAATAGAAGCCACATTATTTCTTCCTACATCAGTGTTTCAACCCAAGGTGCATATAACCCTAAGGCATGTGTATGAGATACATTTAATATACTGACCGATAACTTATAGTTAGAGCTAAAACTAGGACAGATTTTAGTCTCTAAACATTTTCTTCCCAAGTGCTTTAGAAGTCCCAAGGAACATGCAGCCCTATGCAGCTACTTACAATCATTGGGTGTGGGGGATGAGTGGATTTTTCTAGCTCAAGATAAGGGTCTAGAGGTGTGCAGAGGTGGGTAGTGAACTCCAGCTCTTGTGAACACAGTAATGAACCTTCGAGTTCTACATGAGTCTGAAAATTTTCTGCCCAATTCAAGACGGAATTGTGCGTACATAGATTATATAACCTGAAAATTCGATGAACCCAAAATGAATTTCTACCAACATAACAAAGAAGTAATCCGTGAACAGTCTTTAAATTAGACGAACTTTGGGTATTCATAATTTCGAACAAGCGAGGCGATTTTAGTACGAAAATTAAATGGTTAGTTGTTACTTTTAGAACTATTCTACAGCAGGTGTACATATTTTGATTTGGAAGTACAGAATACCTCAGTATGAATATATCATTGACCTGGATTTCTTTTTGCTATGTTTAACCAAAATCCCACATGTTTATTGTTATTGTGTGTTTTAAGCTACTTCGTCTATATTGTGTAATGGGAAAGGTGTGAAATGTAGTATTTTCATTCAATTACTTCAGTGAACATAGTGGCCTTCGAAGATATAATAAAATGATTATGTAATTAATTCGACGTGATAAAGCAGCTATATTAAATTCATACGAATTTAAGGAAGTGTGTGTATATAATAAATTCAGGTAATAAATGAGAAGAAGGGTTGTAATTTGGGTTCGGTGCTTGACAGGGTATGTAATTTTCTGTGGGTTGAGGAGAGGAATATAGGAAATGTACGGCACAGAAATGATTATTGACAAAACCGAATTCAATAAATCTTTTAAAATGTTTTTTCGTATCGTTCTATACTTTTGCAATGTTGGACCACCTGATATCGCGCTCGAAGATGATAATTCCGTGATCGCAAAGCTCGAAAGTTGATATAAAGGCCGTAATTGATGTCTTTGCATATTATAAAAAAATTCTCATGGAAAATAAATTCTTATTTTCACTGCTACTAAATGATCCCAAAAGTGTAACCTAACCTAATATTGGCAAAGAAATCTATTATTTTTTGTTGAAGTGACAGTATTTTCAGTAAATAAACAATAAAAATTTAGTTTTCTATCAGTCTGCCCCATACCTCAGTGTTCCCTTTATATCTGTCCTGTTCATTTTAGTGGTTGATACTGGCTCCATGATAAGAAACATGAAACTTTACATCTGTCATATTGTAAATATTTCATGCAAGAGTGGCTGCTCCCAATGTTAATATGTTACTTTCAGCCAGAGAGGAATACTATGACCACATGCATTCATTTAAAATATAAATAAATGTAATTTAACTGAGTATAAAATAAAGCTGTCCCAGTACTTGCCATGGAGGCACTTTGTGGGAGAAGTGGTACAATTCCTTGATCTCAGTACTAGATGGGATGAGTGGTCAATGTAAAACCCCAGCACAAAATATTTTTGTTTACCCTGCTGGGGATTGAACCCCAGTCAGCCAGTTCACAGTCACATACTATACTGAGTCACCCTAGCTCATTTTATTTGAGTATCTGTTTACAATATAATGACCACAAGATAGACTGTATTGCAAAGTTTTTCAACAGTCTGCTTATAATACTTTAATGAGCTTTTTTCTCATTCACTTAATTTACCAATTTTACCTGATAATTGTGTAATACTTTTAGGTTTCTGTATCTAAGTAATGAAGGCTTTTAGGACTTGTGTTCATAAAACAGGCCTATCCAACATGCAGCTCATGGGTTTGGTGTTGCCTTCATTGTAGGAGAAATATTTACATAGAGAAGTTATTACAGATGTGAAAATATCAGTAATATATTTTAAAGTAAAAATTACTACAAACTCCTGTTGATTATCAAAGAACCAATGTAACACAAAAAGAACCCCTCATATTCTTAATTGTTGGGGCCTATGTTTCAGAAAAATATGTAAAATTTCATATACCAGACTTTCCTAGGCAATCCTGTGATAAATGCAGTATCATCTAGTATAATTTGAAGATTTATGCAATTTGACATTTTGTCCATCAGATTAATACTAATTTCAGTTAGCCATAATGACAACTCGAAAGAGAAGTGGATCTGGCTCAAAAAGACAGCTGAAGGAGAAAGTTGTGCAGATTTATGAGTCGTTCTTCAAGGTGAGTAAGTTTATGTCACTGAAGATTTTTCTGTTTCATCCATTTGAAGTTGTAGAATGACATGTAGACATTACGTGTAATGTAAACATTCTTATAAAACAAAGTGTGATTCTTTTTAGAATGTAACTAATACATTATTATGTATGTTACAGGGTGAAGACCCCTCATTAGGAAACCCAAACTTCTGGGAAGAACTCTTTCTTCTTAAACCCAAAGTAAGTTAAAATTGATAGTTAAACATTATGGATGGATTAAGGACATGCATGGGAGAGGTGTAAAATGCATACAAAATTTTTGTTGGACAGCGTGAAGGAAACAGACCATTCAGAAGACCTAAGCAGATGGGGGTAATATTAACAAATTAGGGTTGGAGGGTGTGGTTTGAACTCGTCTGACTGTAAGCAGATGGGGGTAATATTAACAAATGAGGGTTGGAGGGTGTGGTTTGGACTCGTCTGACTCAGGATAGGGTCCATTGGAAGGCTGTTGTAACACTGACGAACCTTCGGCTTTCATAAAAGTCCAGAAATTCCTTGACTAGCTATGCTTCTTAAGGACTCAGCTCGGTATACAGCCCATTAGTTCATATGACCATGGTACAAGTATAACAATTGCTGAAATCGATAGGTCTGATGTAAAATATTTTAATGAAAAACATTTCAAATTATATTTCTTCTTAAAGTACATCCAACCATTCAGAACAAAGTTTGATAAAATTTTGTATGATGTTCATCAAGAAAGACTACCACAATTAGTTTTGTTGTTCAGTGGCCCATTAAGTTTTGTTTCATTCAAGGTTTCCAGTTTGGAGGCAGAAATTCAGAAATTAAATGGAGAACAGTTGGTAGCATTGAAGGAAAATATCAACACTCTCTTCAAGCACTGTATCGTGACTTTAGGGCATGAACACCATATACGCGTTGTGTACGCTTTGCAGGTATTTATTTTTTGAGCATATTTCTTGCATGGATTAATGTACGGGTACAGTTCCAGCAACAAGAGTTTGGAATCTGTGATCCGTATGCCAAAATATAGTTTACTTTCAGTACATAACAGTGTTGTGTAGAGGTTGACAAGAATTCTGGTCTTGTTTTGTTTTCAGACACTTTGTGCTTTAATCCATAGCATCTATAAAAAAACTTCGGCTGAATTTGGTTTTGATGTGATTAACATCCTCATGGGATTTGATGTTTCTGATGAAATGATGCAGATGTTACTAGATCACTGTAGTAATTTTTTAACTGGTAGGTACAAAATACAAGCAGTAGTTGTGTGTCGTAAGATTCTAAGTTTTTTCTTGGTTTATCTAACAGTGCTTTATCTGTTGTGTCTATTTCAGGTGAGTATCCGACTAGTCTCAAAGCTCTCTGCCTTAAGCTCCTTCTGGTGTTGGTGACAGGAACTGACAATGTCAGTCAGAATACACTGCTGGAGTACCTTATGGTAAACATCATATTTGAAGCCCTCATACAGGTCAGTTCAAGCGCTGTAATGTATCCTGATTCCCAAATATATATGTGTATGATCTCTTGAAGATTTTGGTTGGTGTAGATGATGATGGCCTATAAATACTCCTTGAATTATCTACTTCTTCATATATTCAAAAGTTCTCTTATGCATTTCCATGGTTATTGCTTCAGCAGCATCACACAGCACACCATTATACATAATTCTGGGCCACTTCACTTGAGTTCAGATACTCATGATTTATTTCTCTAGGAATATTTGTAATATTATCCTTTCTCTACACTATGGTCGTCCAAGTAGTTTCTTCATTTCTTGAGGCCGATCACCGTCAACATTATCGATCATCTTGGCTTTTTTCAAACACAACGTTTTGGAAACTGGATCTGTTTCTGTCAAGTACGGATGAGGATGAAAAGGTTCCTGTCCTGTTGGGTCCCTCATAATGAGCTGTTCCTTTCATACCCGACAATGAAAATGGATACAGTTTCGTGTTGCGTATGATCTAGTCTATAAAGAAAACACAAAAATGTTGACTTCATATTGTTTTCTATTTGCAGTTGCTTAATGAACCTGCAAACAGAGCGCAGCACGGTCATGACGCAGTCCTGTTGCTGACCCTCCTCGTCAATTACCGGAAACACGAATCAACTAATCCATACATTGTCAAGTTGTCTATTCTAGATGATGAATTGGCTTTAAATGGATATGGCCAGGTTGTTATTTGAAGTTATTTAAATATTTGAAAACTGCCCGGACCCATCAAGTTATGGTGTCAGAACAGTCCATTAGTTACCTATATCCTGTGTTGAGATTGTACTGTTCGTGACCGTAATCTTGAGACTTGCAAGGAATGCAGGAAGTCCGTAGCGTTAAAGGCAGACGCTATCTTTCCTCCTTCACCCCACTTCCTCGCATCGCAAGTCTCAAGATTACGGTGGTGGACTGTAGCTTTGCTTCTATGTCTCTTGTACATTTTCACATCTCTTATCTTTTGCCTGTCTTGCGGTCACATACTTCAAAACTGGAAGAGAGAAATTCTTTCCATCTAACAATCAGGTGTTGCCAAATAATTACTTCTGTTGTATACAGGGCTCAACAAATACTCTCCAGCTTGTCTCTGACAAGTACAAATTACTATAATGCTACATGCACTACTTACACACTTTATATATCATACAACGAGGATGATAATGGTGACATATTTCCTTATTCAGGTCATTACCTCCTGCTTGACGGACTTTTGTCGTCAGTTTATGGCCCAGCACATGGAACCGCAATCAGCTAGTTGGCTGTCATCCCTGACAAATATGGTGGGGAACATGTTTGTTTCAGAGGAAGGTGGAGTTCGGACACAGCAGATACGGTATGAGACATAGCGTTATTAAAATATCAGACTTGTTTTATCGTTACTTTATTGTTGTATTACATGATGACTTTGAAACATATATTAAACTAGTTACTCAAAAAAAAAACTGCTTTTCTTTTAGTGTGTGTAATAACAGTGAACAGCAAAGCATTAATACTACTGTCTACTCATTTCATTATATAGTTTCTTGACTTCTCACCAGTTTGTATAAGCATCACTAACAGCACGAAAATTTCATCTCTTGTTCTTGGACATTTAAGCTTTAAAGTTTTAATCACTGTTCCTTATCTACGTTGCGGTCTAGGGCAAACAATGCTGTCCTGGTGGCACTGTATGAAGCAGTACATCTGAATCGCAACTTCATTACCACACTTGCGCACACACAGACTGATACCAGTGCCCCTCCGTCCCCGAGCAATACGCTCAATTCATCGCAGCCGACTCCAGATCTCTCTGTTCCGCCAATAGTCGACATCTTTGCTCAGCCTTCAAATTTACTTGTTACGTTTTTCCAGTACTGGTAAGTATTTGTGTATTATTTGCGCATGCACTCCAGTTCTAGTGTTTCAGTATTCATCCGACCATTCTTGAAGATTTTATACATAAAAAGTTATTTTCATTAGTTAAAAAACTACCAATATGGCAGTAATTTCTTCCCAAAAAGAATAATTGTAGAAGTTTCTGTGTTTGACGTACACGGAAGCAAGTCTTTTAACACTGACAATGTTGCAGCTCTATAGTGATGCAAGATACAAAATCGGAAGCGAGCGTGAACAACGTGAAGTTGTGCTTTCTCATACTGACATGTATATCAGAAGATCAGTATGCCAATTCACTCATGCATGATGTCAGTCTTGTATTCAAAGTACAACTCCATCGTCTGCCAATGAGGCATCGCAAGGTTGCGCCTGACAAAGCGTCGCCGTCGCAGCCACTTGCCTCCACTCTCCTGGGTAAGTGGGGGAAAAATTTATATTGCAAAAAATCCGTGAACTTCTTGACGTGCAGCAAAGGTATCCAAGAGTAGTTTCTGGTATATTTGGCTATGGGCATGTAGTTAAGATAATAGAATTCAAATGCGAAAGAGAAATGTTTTTATATAGATTACTATAAAAATGTTATCAGCATTATAATTATGGTTTCAAGTCCTTCAGCCTGTTCCGTCTTCTTAAACGTGTAACCGAGCAATCCATGCGGAACATTAAATCAAAAACACAGGATTTATAACTGCTTAAAGAACACAGCAGTCCGTCACGTCATGGGGAATTAACATTCCTTGGTTGGCAAGACCAACACCTAATTAGAAGATTGGGGGGGGAGGGGTGTTTAAGGGAAGTGTGTCCATTTGTAGTACATGCCAAAAGTCTTGAGTTACGCATTCATTGACGAAACACGACAAATAAATTAATCATAAAATTGTAACAAGGGTCCCAAAAAGATGCATTGCAGCGGTAATCTGGAAGTTAGAAAACTGCCGTCGGCAAATAAGAGTATTGTGGTGTGGTAGCCACCAATTTTTTATCTCGCATGTTTTCACATATTAAAAAATGTTTATGCATAAAAAAAGGACATGGAAGTCCAGAGCATAGCAGAACATCAGAGAGGGCTGTGAGATCCACATGTGTTACAGATTTACTAGTGGAATTCATAATGAGTCATATGATGAAGAAGTTACCCATGGAGTTATACTTGCATTGTGTGGGGGTGATACATCGGGTGCTGTGCTATCAGAAACGCTGCCGAGTACGACTGAACTACCAGTGGAAAGAACTCTGGACGGCCCTCATTACACTGCTGAAGTTCCTTCTTGCTAATGAAAATCATTTGGCAAAGAAGATGAATATCTTTCACTTAGCACTTCAGGTAAAGTATAAGCAATGTACGTATTACGGTGCACTCAAAAAAAAAATAATCTGGAATATTTGTACTGTCGTTGAAAGATTCTTTACTGTTCAGGTGCACAATGAGAAAGACACAACAGATTTAGACTTTCCTTTCACGATTCAGATCAAGGCTCAGATATATTAGAACGTTACGCCACAGCAGAAGGCCGTGCCAAATCAGGCGGCTAGACAATTGCCAATCCCCGCGAAAACCCGGGTTACTTCCACGAGATTGATGTTGGCGACCAATTGCTGTATTTAAGTTATTTTCATGGAGAAACAAATGTCCTTTTTTAGGTTGTGAATATTTTCAACTTGTTCATCACATACGGAGACACATTCCTTCCTTCACCAGGCAGCTATGATGAACTATATTATGAGCTGATCCGGATGCATCAAGTTTTTGACAACCTCTACTCTATGGGTTTGTACCAATTTTTTAAATTCTCCATTATCGACTCCAAAAAATATTTTTTTTCTAAACTGGGTTTTTTTCTTTCTTTCCAGCTTTAAGATACTCAACAAATGATGGGGAATTTAAGGACAATGCTTTGAGACTGACCAACAGCTTAATTAATATAAGGTGAGGTTATCTGATAATGTCAATATTGGTCCATTCACTCGCAGATCAAATTTAGAACAAGCTTCTAAAAGACAGACTTTCTGCGGAATGTCGGGTGCTAAAAGATAACGAAGGAGAAAACAATTACATTAGTAATATTATTTCCAGGGCGATTATCAATCACTTCTCTCCTAAAATTGAAGCATGGTTGGCTAGCCAAGGATTGTCCACGCCCTCAGAAGACCAGGTAAACTGAATTTTGTTGATCACCAACTCTATAATTTCACCAGTGCATTTACAGGTTTCACGTCTTACGATTTTCAGAATAAACAGCAATTATTTCCTTCCTCTCTTGTTAAATGCGGAGTTAAAAATATGTTGTAAGTTTGATAAGTATGTTAACTTACTGACTTCACCGTATAATTCAAACTGAGGTATCAGACGTCTACTCTGTTGTTCTTTGCCATAATCCCGTAATGACTATACCTATAAATACACAATAAATGTTTACAATTTTTTTTAGATATTGGATGTTGTACGAAAGAACTACGACAGCCTAACTCTAAAACTACAGGACAGTCTAGACCAATATGAACGGTACACAGAGAAACCGCGTCATGCTGCGTTCTTTACGGCAATGGTATGTTGGAATATACTCAGGTCTATGAGAAACAAACTACAAAAGAAATGGAGACCGCTGGACACATAGGCCAGATCAGGAGACTAGAAACACGATGCACCATCAAGCGTTATGCAGTTGTTTCAAATTAAAATTTCATTTATGTTGAAATTGTTTTGCATTTTTATATAACATGTGAAATTTTTTTGATACTCCCATGCCAAATTTTCAAAAACAGCCAAAACCTATAATTTGCTTTCTCTTCAATTTACAATTTTTTCTACATCCTGTCAACGCGTAAGGATTTTGGACATCCTGTATCTAATTTTCTAAATTCTAAGCATCAACAGCTTTCCCATTGCTGTTTTGCCAAGATAACTTTTCTTATTTATATTTTTTTCTATGACACAGTTTGGAAGAATGTTTTTTTTTTCCAGGTTCGTAGCGTGGTGAATGACACCAGACAAAACATAGACTTTGCATCATTAGAGCTTCAAACCATCCTTCAAGAGTTTTCATCAATATCATGAGACTTCATAAACGACATGTATTCGCCATGGCTTTAAAGCCATATTTACAATTAATATTTAAATAATGATTGCTGGAACTTGGAAACTCTTTGCAGGAACTTCCAGAAAAATGTAATATGTTGTAAAATAAGTAAGACTAATGAAACAGAAGAATATTTTATAAAAGAAATCTGTTAAAAATTTTCTGTGGCTGTATACATTAGCATCATTAAATGTAATAGTATTAATACTTTATAATTTGAGTAGTAAATATCAAAATGTATTCATGTGTGCAATTCAACGATTTCCCTTATAATTTGAGTAGTAAATATCAAAATATATTCATGTGTGCAATTCAGCGATTTCCTGAACTTTCAGGCTACGAACACCTCAATTAGAAATACAGTGTCCATACCCAAACCCACTTTTCTTTTTTTCCATTTCTAGAGACCCACTTGACTTGTGAAATCCTTAAGGTGTTTTAAGAATCATCTCCCTTCTGAAAGGGGAGATGCGAATGTAAAAATACTTCAAAATTATGTAACTGGATACAACAAATATTTTTGTAAAATTAAAATACAGAAATACACATTTCTTTTTGTAAGTCTGGCATTACGCTTTTTTCCACGAAACCCTTTGAAATAGTTTCCATATCTGTAAGTGGTTCATAAACCACACTCTGGGAATCACAGATGCAACTGGACCGTTATAGTATTTACAGAATGTAAAACTACAAATAAGTTATTATATAAACTTGTAACTCCACACTGTCAACAGTAAGAGAAACATTCAAGCAAAGCCATTTGCAGTGCCAAAGAGGCAGAAACTATCACCCCTGTAGTTAAAACATCCACCACACTAAAAAAATGTTTCAAATAAAAATTGTACACCTTTACATCTATATTTTATATTACGTACAAATATTCCGTATGATGAGCTATTTCCGACAACTTAACAAATTATCCTAAATTTACCTTACTAATTTTAGAACCACAAAACCAAATTTTCATCTAAATGAGATCAGTAGTTTTAGAGATGAAACACGGATGAGTGCACACATCTCTATTATGAATTAATTTTAATCACTTTCAAAAAAAGAAAACAAAGCGGACAAAAACAAAAACAAACTGGTGTTAAGACTGTCATAAACACCGAGTTGCATTTTAAAAAAAATAGACTGGCATTACTAGAAGCATAATCAAAATTTGGTGTGCAGTCTTATAAAATTTAAAATGTCCATCACATGATGCAATGGAGTAGTTTCAGTGGATGGAGGCTGAGAATATTAAAACTGATGGTCCCATAACCCCCCACCCCCAAAGAAAAATGTGCGCATAAAACAATAAATTAGATGTAACTATACAATACTTTCATTTAGTAGTTAAATTAGGATTACACTGTAATACTGGGTGAAATGAAAATATACTGCAGAATTATTTACTGTTTATTTATTAACCCAAAGCTTGATTTTCAAAATTAAACTGTAAAGGAAAAGGAAGTGAAGTTATGGAATTAGTTGCAGTAAACTCAGTATGGAAATCACGAGATTAACATACTTGCATGGACGACGACGACGACCAGCAAGTTTTAGGGATGCATTTCCAATAGTACTTTCACTGGTTACTCTCAGCGGTGAATACGCGAACATACCAGCGTTAAGGTTCCGTAAGTTCAAGCAGATGGAATTCTCTGTTCTGCCAAAAAAGTTACATGGGCCTACCCATGCCACGTCCAATAGGAGGACCTTCAGATCCGTCACCACTGGGTTTAGGATTCTTGATGGTCTCGTCCACCGAGAGCACCAAGCACGCTGCCTCGCACGCCGCTGTAAGAGCATTGATCTTCACGACAGCCGGCTCCCAAACGCACATTTCAAAGCTGTCCGAGATGTCTTCGTTGTTGATGTCCACCCCATACCAGCAATGACCTGAAAAGACGTCATCTTCACACCTAATATTCCTATTTATTTTAAAGATACCAAAATAAGGGCAGGTACAGTCGATTGAATAATCTACAGTTTACTGATTATTTGGTTACCTTGTGCATGTTTCTGACGTAACTTGTTCAGGATGTTTGTTGCGTCAAAGCCGGCGTTGTCACACAGCTGCCTAGGAATCACTTCAAGGGCCTTGGCGATAGCTCCTATTATCAGTTGCTCCTTTCCGGCGATGGTACGAGAATAATCACGAAGAACCTTGCTGAGTTCCATCTCGATAGCACCTCCACCTGAAAAAACATATAAAATCTGTGTAACTGCATCTGCAAACAAATCTATCAACATTTTAGCCGCGTTTACTGCCTCCATCATTAGGGTACCCTGAGATGATGGCATTAAGCACCTCTGAAACATCGGTCAATTTCTACAACATCCCAAAAGACAATCATCTTCACGTGTTGACAAAAGTTCAGTGACACGCCCCAAATTTTACGTAAATCTGCAGAACTGTTGTCAAGTTGTTAGAAGCAAATAGACGGGGCAAAGCAAACGGGCGATTTCTTGCAAGGTTTAAATGTGAACGTGCCCGCAACGCGTGCATCTGTTAAACTTTCCGTGAGATTCCAGACGTACCTGCCACAACTGCGTCGTTCTTTATGGCCCGCCGCACTATCATTATAGCATCGTGGAGTGAACGTTCCGTCTCTTCCATGAATTGCTCTGCCCCGCCTCGTAAAACTATGGTGCAAGTCTTGGCGTGGGGGCAGCCATTGAAGATGTTGTACCTGTAAATGGTATAATAATAGATTTCTGAATGTTCACCATGCCCTATCCTGCGAGGAACTAAAGACGTTTTATCTTCAGTAGTCAGTCTTGCATCTCCAGATACTTATTCCATAACTTAACAAGCCACTGCCTTAACAACTACTCTATTAAAAAAAAATCACATTATATTAAACTTACATAAACAACTCCATAACCGTTTCTCAATCCGACGTTTTCAGTCATAATTCATAACTGTACGCGTATATTTTCAAGGTCATCCCAGTAAATACAATTCTTATTCCTGACACCTTGTAAATCACCAACAAACAACTTAATTTTTGCATCATTATTCATTTCAGCAGCGCTCAGATCAAATATCTTACTTCAGAAATATAAATACAGCCAACATTAAAATACCTTTCACCTCCGACCTGCCTCTCTTCAAAGTAGTCGCAAGAGCCGAGAACAGAATCGCCGAGATCATGAGCAGTAGACATGACGGAACCACCGCAAGCTTTCATGGTGCGCTTTAAGTCCTCTTCAGGCACGCGACCCGCACAGAACATGTCCCTGTAAAGAGGCGCCACAGACCAATTCAGAGTCGAGAAATCTCTTCCTGAATAATTTAGTTTTTATTAAATGCTCCGTGGAATTAAATCTCCCTTTTATTAAAGGACTAATGATTTAACACAATCACCAACTCCACAGAAGTAAAAGGACGGGATTAAATATGGTCAATCATTACGTTCACGCACCTGTCAGCAAAATACTGAGTTGCGACGTCTCCAATCGGAAGCTTCGAAAGAACCACTTGCGCCCCGCTCTTATGGATCATATCCAGTTTCTCATACAAGATCTTCCATTCCGCATCCACGATCTTCTGATACTCCGCCACGCTCTCGACTCGAATTTCGGCATTCTCTCTTTCGGCTTTCAGTTCCAACTCAATGTTTAAAAGGGCAATTTTGGGGTGGTTGTACTCTTTTCGCTGCATCTCAAACCCAGCATATGAAAATGTTTTTTTAAAAGCCACACCTTCTACCAACAACGAATCCTACAAAAGTTTTTAAAAAAAGAAAAGAGATAATATGATGTTAACAGACAAACTTTCTGTACTGTGTACATTCATTAATAAAAACGCACAGCTATTTTTAATTAAATTTCCTTTCATTAGTAAAGTATACTTATGAGATCACGACGCTGTTAAGAGTGTCTCCCCTCCAATTCTTGAATTAACGTTAAGCCATTAGACGCCGCTCGCATATTTTAATTTCCTACGATCAGCAATAACATGGCAGCTCTGCAAAACTTTTCTATAGCTTAAACTTAAAGAGCGTTAAGTAATGGAACTGACCTCTAAAGCCCCACCAGTAACTTTTTTTATGCCAATCATGTTGAGTGGAAGGAGGTCATCCAACAACAGAACAGCGTCCACCACCATCTTTGAGAAGAATCCCTTCTGCTGACTGATGAGCTTCGAACTCAGGGCTGTAGCGGCACATTTCTGAAGCAGCTGCCGAAGCTCTTCGGCATTCTGTTTCTCAATCTGCCCATTAGAGAGAGACATGCCATCAAGCATGTATAACATTTCTGTCGGACTTCATCCATCATCTACACGTTATTTAAAACTATGACGTATCAGAATCTGCTGTCCTACGTCTACAATGACAACAGGCAGAAACAATATGAAAGGATGCAGAACGTAGGGACAAAAAGTACGCATACCTTCACTGCTAAGCTGTTAATCTTCTCGACCGTTAGCTGCATAGCTTTACGAAATGCTTTAATAATAATGCGTGGATGAACACCATCTTCAACAAAAGGTTTTATCTGCCTCAGGAATTCACCGGCTAAAAGTACGACACTAGTTGTTCCATCGCCGACCTAAAAATACAATAATACTTTTACCTTTCATCAAAACATTACCAGACACTAAAAAAAAGCTGATAAAGAATTACAACTGTGCGTATGAGCTGAAATGACTCATTTCATTTACTACTGAGCCATAAGTCTATCATACTGATTTTTTTTCTCCCATATCACACGCTCATCTACACCACACTCTTGTGAAGTTGAGCACAGCGACAGGAGGATCTTGAATAACTCCACGAACTTATATTATATAAAGCAATTATGCCAGAATTTGGTTTTGCCTTCAGTTACTACATTAGACATAAACCTATTCCTATTTGGGCACACAGAACATTGCAAAGCAGAATCTAAGTACAGTACATTACATACAATGGAAAACTGTTATCACTGCAAACATCCAACAGTTACAATTCAAATTAAGTCATACGTCAATTATATTTCTTTTTAAAGGAAGGCTGCCAACACTCAAATGTAAAAGACAAGCAGTATACACCTGCTCAGCAAACTAACCTCAGCATCTTGAGATTTGGCAATATCAACCAGCGTCTTTGCTGCTGGATGAACAACGTCCAATAGCTTCATAATGGTTGCCCCATCATTAGAAATTGTAGACCTTCCATGATTATCCACAATAAGTTTATCCATTCCCCGAGGGCCTAAGGTGGTACGAACAGCATCCATAACTGCTTGGCAGGCACTTATGTTTGACACCAGATGAGATTTACCTTGGGAATTCTCGGTGCCCTCTTTCAATAGGATGATTTGTGGTTGCTAAAATTCGATAGTTTATTTGTAAATCATTTAACACACAACTTCAACAACTGCATAAAATTAAATTTTACAACTATGAATTATTACGAAAAACCCTATAAAATGTAATGGGTGTGTTATCGAAAGTATCAGATAATGTACATATCGGGTATTGTGTTAAGACATTCGGATGAAATATATGCTTTTAACATCCGAAGTTAGTTTAATAATACAATATACATAAATTTGGAATTCTTTGACAACTGACAAATCCCTAACGTTTAGATTAAGGTTTCATCGAATGTTCTTAGTCTGACTATGAAAGAATATCAATAATCATATGTTAAAGTGAATTCATTACATTGAAAGATGTCGGATAAATAATTTGATAAAAAGTACAAACCATGATGCCTCTTCTATTCTATCTTCACGCAATTCCACTTTTACACAGCAGCCAAACTACAAACACAGATTACCAACTCCTACAACATAAGTATGACTATTAGTTAGCAACGCACCCGCACACAGATGACTGATTTCACGTAATAGAAAATGGCGAATTATCACAGAAATGAAAACAAGAATGTGATATTGCGAACTGTATTCTCTACAGATATTGTATAGAATATAGGAGATGGCAGATAGAGTTATAAATGTTTGTTTCTATTTGTAAAATTCAAAATTTTTTTCATTTATTTCCCAATAAGCTACTTTTGTTATCAATATACTACTACTAACATTTCTGGACACCAAACTGTTCATTACCAAAAATGCCATTGGAATTCAAATGCTACTTTTCCGTTATCAACTTCCAATTTATTTTTATACATTGGTAAATGTCAACAACTTCAGACCCACCACTGTGAAAACCTCAAATCCTACTGAATAAAATCTGTTAGTTAAAAAACAAACGACTCTCTGTATATACGTCTTGACTTTTGGTAAATTATACGTTTCGGAGACTTTCTCAGCCCTCAGCTAAAATCTTGTCAGGTCCAGTGGATGGAGCTACTCCGTCTCCAGCAATCAGGATATTAAAGTTATTGCAAGATCTCACCTGTGACAGTACTTCAGCAACAGACAAAACAGCTCTCTCTTCCACACACAACACTTCAAATTTATAGTTTAATTTTTTATGTCCATAACAAAACCCATGAAATAGTCGTACTTGACAAATTTACATGCTCAGCTAATCAAGAATTTCCCCATCTTTTCAGAACCCAAAGGTTGATTACTGTTTGTAACAGTCAAACACCAATCCCAAAACAATTTCAGTAACTTAGCTGCTATAACTGAAATTAAAAGAATATAATTATACTTTTACTTTAATACCATAACCTTATTTCATAATCAATAAAAACTAACATATTCAGTAGAAACACTGCTAATACAGAAAATAATTCTTTGGAGACAAAACATACTTATACTCACTATTTAACATTTGTTTATAATACAGTTAAACAATATATGGATACTTAATTATGCGACTACTCTGATCAAGAGTTACACATACTAATACAAAAACAATTCTTCGAGGTTAGTTACTTAATCTTGTTAGAACTTTGACATCAAAT